CGAGGCCATCCCCCCCTCATCCCTGCTGCCATACTGTGGTATGTTCAGTGTCATTATACATAGATACTGCAGAGATGAAGAGAGCTCTATGTATGATGTAGCTCCTTTGTGAACTAGTCCCAGGAACCGATTTCTCTGGGGGAAAAAAACATGAACTGATAACAGGAAAACATATTTTCTGATTAGTACTCAAACTGATTAACAGAACTGTCAGAAGCAGCTTGTGCTGTGAAGCGACAGAAAAGGCTGCAAAACCACTGGCCCTGAGGCTTAAAACTGACTGTTTGCAGAAAGATAGCACGATTAAGGGAAAAATCATATCTTTATTATTCATGTTTCCCAGGATCCTGGAGAAGTTTTTATCTCACATACTGCTCAACTAAATGTTTGAGGTTTTTTTTGTGAAGCCAGAAAGCAGCTTAATAGAAAGTTGCGCTTCAGTACAGCTCATGAATCTAAAGCTTAGCTAAGTTGGGTTGGTTTGGTGTGGTGGTGATGGTGTGTTTTGGGATTTTTGGTTTGTGTGTTGTTTTTTTTTCTTCATGCCGCCTCATTTGCTAAGAGTGGAATCTTTTTTGTCTTTCCTTGACAGGACATGAAGTTTCTATGTTTTTATTAACTGTAAGAAGAAAATAGTTCTCAGCTAGTTCTAACTCTTCTCAGAGATTTTTAAAGAAAAATTACTTTCTTGTTTCCAGTCAGATGGCTGAAAACGGGCTCTGCCAAGCTTAACGCTTACCTTCAAAAGTCTCCTTGCCAAAGTTGAAGAGTACCACACCAATGTTTCCCCTGTAATCCTCATCAATAACACCAGCTGTTTTAAGAAAGAATTCAGAGGGATAACCAATTAATAAATGTTGTTAGTATAATAGGTAAGTAGATTAGATAAGGCTTAGATTAGCAGATGATTGCAGTATCTTGTATCGACATCCTCTGCACTGCTCATGCACAATTAAACAATACATACGAAAATACTGAAATGTCTAGAAATGCTGATCAATCTTTCAGAAAGAACCAAAAAAACACCATTGCTTATCAAGAAATATTTTACCACTGTACGCTATCTGAAATCAAGACAGCTGGGCCAAATTCAGGCTCCATTTGTTCTGCTAACTTCAGCTCTTTGCGTGTCAAGCAGAAATCTGTTTTTAAACCCTAACATTTTATTTGAGAGCTATAGATTCACGCACATCCAAATTCTGGATTTCAGGCAAGGTAACAGAACAAAAGCTTTAAGGAACTGATTGTCATTCAGCTACATTCAAATATAAATACTGTAAAACAAGCTTGCTCTTACATTTTATGTAATTATTAACTATGTAGAGTTCAGGAGATTATCTATGAATACACATTCAAATAATCTATTCTTCTGCTTTGGGGTTTTTCTCTAAGATACAGGCAGCATATTTGCAGTAGGAAAACTGCAGTTTGGGCTTCCTTTCAGACTAAAGTATGTATTTTGAAGTCCACTTGCAGTAATAATTCATATACTAGAATTACATGTCATTCCTAGGCTCCCAGACTATTATATAAAGTACTGCCTTTAGAGATTATAAACCCTGGAGGAAATTGTAGCATGACTGTACCTTGAAGTTTTAATGTTTTACCATAACATACACACTTAAGAATAGAAAACTGAGATACTTTTTTTCTTCACCTGTGTGACAATATTGCAGTACATATGGTCCATAGTTACTGTATAATGTCTACACTAGGTCTGGTGTGAAAAAGGTATTTAATCAGCTCTTTTTCTTGCAATGGATTAATCCAATCACATTTCTGAACATCTTCCTAATTAAGGTGCTAGTAATACTGGGGGTATCCCTCGAGTTCTGGAAATTCAGGAAAACATGCAGTTTTCCAGTTAACTCACCGGTACTTCACTGCATGCAATTGCTTGAAAGTACCCTAATTACAGAGCACTGTCAAAAGTAGCAGTGAAGAATACACAGGGGTTGGTGTGCATGAAAGTTTTCAAGAAAAAAGCAAGAATAGTAAAATTACTGAATGTAGCATTCAGTTCAGCCGATTCAGAGAACTTGATGTACAGAACCTACATGCACAGGTCTCATACTGTTCATTTGGTTTAGGTTAGACCAGCCTTCAGAAAGTCAACTATGCATCAGCTAAACTGAGTATCACAGGACACCGCTTGTATTGGTGATCACAGATTTCTTGCACAGTTTCTACCATAGTTCAGTGTTGCAACTGAATACTTAAAATACTAAAAATCAAATCCTATGTACATAGGTCAAGTGTGTAAGCAAAAAAGGCTGAACTACAAAACAATAACATGAAAATTTTGCCTTCTTACTTCTTGCAAAGTACTTACTCCTTCCTCCTTTTTAAAGTATCAGAAAATCTACAGCCCCTAAATTAACTGCTAAACCACGGGTGACACAATGTGTTAGCTAAAGACTGCTAAACAGATATTTTGCTTTGTTGTATACAATAGTAGACACTGAGTCCATGCTACGTGGATGCATTACAAAGATAGATTCAACAAACTTGTAATAGCAGCACAGACAGTTTTAAGCATCACTCAAGTTCTGCATTCAGTTTCCCATTAATTTGGTGTATTTGTTCATATGAGACAATCAGCTGGAGAACTGAAAGCCAGAAATCAGATCTGGCACATAAAATTAAGTACATATGCTCATAAATCTATTTTAAAAATAATCATTAGCTCTTTGGTTTGTCAAATTAAGGATTTATTCATTCTCAAGCATTGCTCTACAGATAAGACAACATTTTCCTAGACCATAAGCTGGGATATATATTGCTATGCATTAGATTGATAATGGAATTTGCTAATTTAAAATAACGAAGGACAGTTCTATTTCTTTTATAACAGTATTCTACTCTAAGACAATACTAAAAACTTATTTGATTACTAGTCTATTTAAATAGCCATTATGCTTTTATATGTATAAAATGTACCAATTAAAGTAGTATGGTTAGAAAAAACTCTTGCATGTCACCTTTTCTGGAATTAGCTGAAGAAAATTTACAGAACAGAACAAGTGGGGCTACTTGAAGTTATTCTAACTTAACTTTTCTGCCTTCATGTCTCTGACAGAAAGCAAGTTTATTTCTACATAGTGACAAAAATATGTATTGGTTAGTGCTTAACAGCTAATGAAGCTTTTTGATCTACCAGATGTTTCTGCTATATTCTGGGAGAGAAAACTAAATATTGTTTGAAACAGCCTGTATTGGAGTAACTGGAGCTTAACAGCACGTCAGTATTTCTACTCTTTGTTAAAGGTTTGGGGGTTTTTGTTTTTTGGTTGGGTTTTTTTGTAATTGATCTGTACTGATTTACAATGAATCTAGGCAGGTGCTTCCTCAACCTTTGAAGAATGGCATTAGCACAATCTCAGCTTTATGTATAGACACTAAAATTAATTTTACAAATATTGTTGAAAAGGGTGTCATCAATAGCTAGTCCTATGAAGAGACACCAGATTTGTTTGATCACCTATTTGACTACTGCTAGAGACTGACCTTCTAGGGTTTGAAAAACTATCTGCTAGAGACTGACCTTCTAGGTTTTGAAAAACTATCTAGGATTTGAAAACTATCAGATAACTAAAGATGAAAAAGACTGAAAACTTAAGTCATTTGTATTGTTCACCGGGGGGGGGAAGTTCTCACTACAACTCTCTAGTTTTCTAAGCTTAACTATAAAGTAAACACCTTGCATAGCTGGTTAAAGATTTTGTTAAATTAATTCCCTACCAATCATTTTCTCTTTAAATGTATTCTACTTCCACTGACATAGTCCTACTGAGTTTAACCACCATGTGGATTTTTAGTTCAAATTTCACTATTTGTGTTAAAGATACAAGAAAATATGACCAAGGAAGACCTGACGAGTTTCCCTTCTGTACAGGGTCACAGGCTTGCTCTATGTAACTGGGTGTACTGGCAAAACATACTAACATTCTTGGCATCATGTTATTCTGGAACAGAAAGTTGCAATAAATACATACGCTGCTGACAACTAAGGCACTTTTTAAAATCAGGTGCACTGGGTAGAAATAATCTAAGTAATTTTTGGAAAAATCATGCATTGGAATTGACAGTCTGACATTCTGTCTTACTCTGTCAGAAGTTTGGCGCGTCACTTGGTGGGAAAGCATCCACACCTAGCAGATGTGAATTCTGAACATATTCTTGAAGGATCCCAAATTTTCTCCCTGATCCTTAGGTATTCTGGCAGTGTATTTCTACTTAGATGGATAATATCCTCATTGTGACAAAAATACTTCTGCAGGGTAAGTAAAATGCTTTTTCTGTCAACTTCCATTATAACTCAAATTATAACGTGCTTACAAAGAATGTATTCTCTCTGCCACTCAGCACTTCTGAAGATACCCGTTAGATGCATCTTCTTTATATCACCACATCAGAAATGTAGTTTTGGGTTCTTTTCCTCCACTTTACTGTCAGAAAAATGAATTGCTTAGGGGTTTAGGTGGCAGAAAACATTTTATTTAACTTAGAACTGTATTCTTGTACAATTAGAACCATGTAATGCACATTTAGTGCTAGTTAAATTACTGTGGTTACATCTGTGCTCAGAATAACTCTACCATCCTTTTAGTGGTAACAACTTCGGTGTAATGTAGATGCCATTTTATAATACAATAGTTAAAGAGAATCTGCCTGTGCTCTGATCAGCCCCACTGCAAAAGTGGAATAGAACTTTCAACATTATTTACTTCATGTTGTAGTTATATAGCAAAAGCACCGTGAGACTTTCATGAAGGCCTCTGATTAGAGATGTGCCTGTAACAATTGCTTTTGAAGAGATATCTGTGAATTTCTAAACAAGATTAATGAGAAGCTCAAAATATTTCAAAGGAACAACCTGTTGTTCAAAACAAATCTGTTGCATACCAAACAAAAAACTCCAAACAGTAAAGACTTGTAGAAGTGGGATTTTAGTTTTGTTTCAAAACCTTTCAATTTTTAAGTCAATTAATGTAAAAGGTTAGGAGTTTGAATTTCAGTTGTTTCAAGTAATTTGTTACATTTTCATCAGCAAGAGTAAACTAAAGCTGTCTTTATCCTTATAATCAATTCTACCCACAGTTATGGTGTATTCCAGTGCCACCTTCATTCCTTCTGAATATCATTACTATATATTCTCTGTGTAAAAGAATATCTCTCTATTATTGATTTAATTCATTCAGACCATACACTACACTGAAAAGAATCACATATGTTCGGTCAAAATGGAGAAAGAATGTAAAAAGTCATCTTTAAAGCCTAAATCAAAAAGTCACTTCTATGCCAGGCATTGCCTACAGAAGTACAATGCTGTTATTTTGTTTTTTAAAAAGTAGTATTTTTATAATTCAGGTTTTAAAATAATTATGATGCAGTGGCTCTCTGAGGTATTACCCACTTAGCTCCTTTTGCCAGACCACCAAGCTACCATTATTTATTTGCTTGTATTACGATGTGAAATTAAGGCACTTCTGCAATCAAGATTCACAAAGTCTTAGTAAAAAGAACAAAAATCTTACCACCAACATCTATGAAGTGCTTTGCAGCTAAACCAGAACGTGGTGCTAGAAAACAAGAATTGCTTTGTAAGTACAATAATTTACTTCTTTTAAAACTCTTACACAGTACTTACAGGCTATATGGTGTGTTTGCACAGTTGTGGCAGCAAGAACTGTTTCCACAGTCTTTCTAAAATAAACATGATTTTACAGGAACTATTGTAAGTGTTAATGTACATATTAAACAAAATGACAGCTGCTACAGGCTACAATAAACCTGCAATCTTTAAGTGATACAGAATCATAGAATAGTTAGGGTTGGAAAGGACCTTAAGATCATGTAGTTCCAACCCCCTGCCATGAGCAGGGACACCTCGCACTAAACTATGTTGCCCAAGGCACTGTCCAACCTGGCCTCAAACACTGCCAGGGATGGAGCATTTACAACTTCCTTGGGCAACCTATTCCAGTGCCTCACCACCCTCACTGTGAAGAACTTCTTCCTTATACCTGATCTAAACTTCCACTGTTTAAGTTTGAAGCTATTACCCCTTGTCCTACGACTACAGTCCCTATAAGATATAAGCCTATCTTTGTTTAAACCACCATGTACAGAGTAGGTTTCTCCACAGAAGGCAGCTGGAGCAGACAACTGTCTAATCTTGGTTTATTTCTGGCACTACCACTGGTTTGGCATAATCTCAAAAGATTATTAGGTCAATCCATTCAAATAATGATGGAAAACAGTATTTGGCAAGCATTTTTACTAAGAAATATTATACACAAATTATGTACAGGGTTATTTTTGTTACTACCTTAACTGAGTTTGAAGTGCTAAAACTCACCTTTCTTCAAAATTTTCTTTGGGATTAGACACATGCATTTTCCTTTTAGATGAAAGAACACACAAACTCCGATCACACTCTTCCATTGGAGTGACTATTTTTTATTTTTTTTTTACTTTAAGAATTTATACATAATTCAGAAAAAGACAGCAGAAAACTAACACAGTATCTTGTCAGGTTCTCTCAAGTATTCGGTCACAAAAAGTAGTCAAACTCTACTATACTAGTATTTTTATTTCAGGATTAATTTTTAAACACCCAGGGGTGTGTTTTCTGCATGTCCATTATCTACTGGCCTTTGTGATTTGAATTCTGAAACTGCAGAGAAGTAATGAACTACTGAATAGCTTATGAAGTTGTATGTAGATTACAATAGGGACTCTAGTGGTAATGGCTTCAAACTTAAACAGGGGAACTTTAGGTTAGATATAAGGAAGAAGTTCTTCACAGTGAGGGTGGTGAGGCACTGGAATAGGTTGCCCAAGGAAGTTGTGAATGCTCCAACCCTGGAGGTGTTCAAGGCCAGGCTGGACAGAGCCTTGGGCGACATAGTTTAGTGTGTGGTGTTCCTGCTCATGGCAGGGGGGTTGGAACTACATGATCTTAAGGTCCTTCCCAACCCCAACTATTCTACGATTCTATGATTTTTGCTAGTGATTTTTTTTTGTCATTTGACGTACACCAAACCTCAAATGTATTTGACAAAGCTTAATAATAAAACATGCAGCCTGTGAGACTTTTTTTTTTGTGTAAACTAATTCTGAAAATTTTAGGCAGAATCGAAAAGGGAGGATGGTGTCAAACCAGTTCTACAACGATTCTGCAGCCTTTTTATAGCCTGTTTACTTACCTACTCGGCCATAGCATCCAGAAGGAAGTGCAACCTGAATGTCTGTTTTCACTACAGCTTTTCCCATGGGTGGTATCTCATAGTCGTAGGCACTATATTAAAGAAAGAAACACTAGTTTATATGGAGTATTCTGAAAATTTTCCTGTAACTGAAATGTTTCTTTATGAAATGGACTTTTTCCAGGTGCACAGTGCACCACTGGAACAAGGGAAAAAAAACCCAACTGTTAAGCAAAAGTAATACAAAGCGTCAAGTGCGGTGCAGCAAAACCACAGGAAGGAAGTTGGGCAAAGGAAGAAAAAGGCTGATTATTTTAATACTAAAAAAGGGAAGGTGGAGGTGGTCACAGTGAGTTCAGATATAACTAGTGCTTGTACCTGAGCACAGAAGCCCTATGCAAACAATCGCATGCCTAGCTGCAGATTCTCCTGAACAATGGTTATTTTAAATTCAAGCAAACCCAACCGTAGGACTCTACACAGCAACCCATGTGGTTACCAGCTAGAAGCATTATCTAACTGCCACAGCATTCTTTGGCAGGCAGCCCCCAACAGCCATGAGGAAAGCAGAAAAGCATAAGCGATGGCAGGGAGGACCACATGCACTACCATTTTCTAGCGCCTTCAAAAGGAAGGCACTGGTCAATGTTGACTCCAACTCAGGCTGATGTGTCAAGCCTGACTTTTGCCCAGTGGCTGCATCGCTACCTGATGAACTCGGTGCTGCAGCACGACTGGACCACAGGTCTCTGGAAACAAAGGCAGACGGATGGAGAAGCAAGGGAGCTAAGGAACGGGCCAGCTCTGGCCTACTCTTTC